GATAGAAGAGAAAGTGATTAAAGACGGGAGCAACGTAGAACCCCACATTAAGACTCTTCCGAAAGACACAATGAATGAGCAGTTAGCTATTGGAGGAGAACCAGGAGAAGACAGTCATGGAAACTGAGAGGACAATATTTCAAGAAGACCACCAATTATCTGTGTTCAGATTTCCAAAACAGAGCACACTATGATACCATTTGGGAATAGTTTCCTTTTAAAAGAAAAATAATGAAGCCAGTAATTTTTATTAAAACATTTTCTTGTATATTTAAGCATTCATATCAGAAAATGACAAAAGTTATACAGTGTAACAAATTTTTTCCATTATACAGATTCCTGTAATATGTTTATTCTTATACTTCATTACTGTAATGTTCTATTCCATCTAATGATCTTTGACTTCTCTATATAATTGAATAATTTAATCAGCAGCTTGCATGATACTAGTTATTTTTCCCCAAGCAAAAGAGCTTTCCTTAAGTACATACGAAAGTACATCTGAATTCAATTCACACTGAAGTGTCCCATATTTTGGCAAATTTTAATTATTGACTTGTTACACGTCTAGTGCAAATTATAGTTATTTTAATTTGTATATGGAATAAGTAACTTCCATAGCTTCTGGCCTATACAGAGTAATGCATAATACTGCAAGATGCATCATACTCTCTCTAACATTTATAGGGCAACTTACAATTTAGAAGCAGTATGACTATATAATTGAAGACTGTCATAATGGATATTCACAGTGGAACGTAATTCAAGTTTCATCTGTTCTTCAACACTGTTACCTGGGTTGGTGCTAATTGGTCAGTTGTCATAGGGATTTTTTGGGGCGGGCGGGGGAGGGGATAGAGGAAAGACTGTAATATTATTTTGTGATCACTTTGAGAGAGAGATCATTTCTAAATTAAGACAGCTTTTTAAATTAATATACATTGTAACCAGTAGAATTATGTAATGCTTATGACAAAAGTAGCGAGGTCCAGTAGTTAGGGCAGTGGGCTGGGTTCTGTTCTCAACTACACTATTGTCCCTCTGTGTGATCCTGGGCAGGTGACTTCACCTTGTTATGCCTCTTTTCCCTCTCACTGTTTGTCCGTTTTGTCTATTTCCAGTGTAAACTCTTTTAAGCAGAAGCTGTCAATTAAAATGTGTATGTACAGTGTCTAGCACAATGAAAATCCAGTCTTAGTTGGAGTCTGTAGGCTCCATTGTAATACAAATTATAAATAAAATGTCAAGGGGAAAATAAGATTTGGAACTGTGACTTGGAGATTGTCCCAGAAGCAGCGCACATGGAAAAGCTTAAATGAACTTGTTATACAGCAATGTTGGCAAATACAGAATTCGATTCTCATCCACTGAATTGTGATTGATTAAATTTCACTCTAATTGTGTTTCGTACATAACTCAACTTGCTGAAGATGTGATTTTAAATACTTTTTTTTTTAATGTGGCAAATGTTAATAAGTAAATAAAACCTCTTCAAATAACATAATTTTTTATTCCTAATTTTCAAAACTGCATTTTCATAATATCAAATTCTAATGCACAATGTGAAGTAATCTGATGCATATTCAAAAGAAAATCTACTGGAACGCTCTCTGTTTACCAGACTCTTTTACGAGCCTCGTGTCTGATTTCACACAGCAGCTCTGAGTGAAGGCAGCAGGTTTTCACTTGGCAAATACTCTGTAACAAAGCAAGGACTGATTTGTTAAATGCCTTCCTTATGTCCAATGGATTTTGTTGGAGATCTAGAGACCAAATAAAAGCCTGATGAAAGATGCAGTCTTATTTTAAAGTCTTACTTATTTATTGAAAAATTAAATTGAAAATGCTTTAGTTTCAGCATTTAGTCTTCTGAATTAGTATTTTAAATCAAAACTATAATGAAGACATGTTACTTGAAACTATAGTTCCTACTGATGGAAAAATAGATTCTTAAATGTCCTTGGGAGGGTGGCAGATGCTGATTTTTATAGCAAGTGTTTTTGAATTACGTAACTGATGTTAGGCTATAGGTTTAAGGTCATCCTATGAGTAACCTGTATGAGGTTATAAATGACAAAATAAGGTCATTCGGTCCCTCTTTTGGAATATGAGGAAGAACAAAATACATAACATGTAGACTTGGTAATTTAGAATACAACTAGGAAAATAATGCAGTCATGAACATTGATTTAAATTAAGAGTTAATTGCTTTTGACTGTATTCACAATCAGTGTTCCATGTAAGCTGTGCATGTGGGAGGCCACCCAGGAGAAATTCAAATACTCCACCTGATTAGTAGAGTGTCCACAGCTGGGCCGCATGTGTTTCTGTTGGTGGTGCACATGCCTCAGTGCACATAACAAAATAAATTCCATACTTGGTTGGAAAAAATTAAAGGGAACATTGTTCACTTTCTTTGAACATTAGTGTAAGTAACATTTTTGTCCACAGGAATTCTCAGGAAAGTGAATATGTTGTGAGTACTTGCATAATATGTTTGTATAAAAGTTTATATCAGAAGTTGCCTAGTTGTCTTGAAATCTTTGGGGTTCGTTCCTTGAAATTTTTGTCTGCTCAGAGAATAGAAACATAATATGATCAGACACACCAGAAATTGATGACATAATTGAAACAAATAGTGTATATTAAACTCACAGTTTGAAACATGTTTGCATAAAGTGTTCTTTGAGTAATTACAAATAGTGAGCATACTTGTAAACATTCTTTACAAATCAAGAAGTCTAAAGTCAGTAAATAAATCACTTGCTGTGAATACTTCAGTTATTATTCAGACTCCTAATTTTAGTAGGAATACAATGCTAATGGTAAAAGAGGATATCAAATACTGTCATGATTTCATGAAGTGCAAAATGTGATTTAAACAGCTAGAAATGCTACTTCGCTTTAATGTATAACAGTTTATAATTAGATTTTCTACAATAATATATACATTTTTATTTTGCTAAAGATGCAACTGCTTATGTTGAAGCCAGGTAGAACCTCAAAAATTTGTAAGAGAAAAATATTTATCATGTTCAGTGTGCATCCTAGTGGCTTTACTACCTGCTGTGATCTGTTCAGTTTAGATATTCTGTTACATAACTCTTCCCTTTAGCTTGTTTAAGATAAGCTTTATAGACATGTTGGAGTCAGAGCCAAATGATGGTGTCCAATATTACTCTTTCCTCTATGACCCGTATTTTCTGGAACCTTGCTAAAGATACTGTGGTCACTATGCATCTTTCCAGTTAGCCCCCTCACCTGAAGCCCTTCTTTAATCTCTTTACATGGTTAATGAATTAGTAAATGTACTCTGTTGATTTGACAGAATGTAGTTACATTATTTCATATTATACTGATAATTTTCACAATTAGGGAGCATTTAGGACAAGTGGTAGAAGCAAGGAGATACTAGAGTAGTGATGTGGATAGGAGCTAAATTTTTTGCACTCCTTGAATGCTTGCCATATGTACTATTTATACTTTTGTTATTGTATAGGAACAGTCCAGACAAGCAAAATTTAAATTTGTATGGATAAGTTGTTTGTTAAATATTGGATAAATTGTACATTAAGGAATTTGTCCTGCAGCCCTGTTAGACGTTTCAACAAACTCTTAAATATATTTTTTGAGTTATGGAAGAGTAAAAATATATTTTCTGCTGGAAAGATGTATGTATACTTAATTTAAATGGTTGAACTTCATAAACTGAAACTTTTCAGGTCTCTAGTCTGAAGTCATGAGTAAGAACTAGTTTGTAAAATTAAATACTTTGAATACAGTCCTGTAGCGATGGGGAAAGATTCTCAGATGGCTCTATTGACTTTCAATTTGAAACAATCAAAAGGATCAGAGAAAAAAAGTGTAAGGGTTCTCTTATATCGTTACCTTGATTTTAGGCTTTGTGCAGGCTCTCTGCACAGACATGAATTTCTCTAATCTGAAAGTAAACTATACTTTTCCGCTTGGCTCATTTTAATTGGAATTTTAGGAAAGTCTCTTACTAAAGTTTTGATTGTATTTTAAAATGAAAACAGAATATTGGACATCCTAGGTTTGAGCTAGAAAGGGATTACATTCTGTAAAAATGTCACCACCAGCTTATAATGTCCATTGAGGTCTGTGGTATTCTGTATTGCTGAAATGTTTCCTTAATTTATTTTAATGTATGTATGAAAATTTTACCTCTTATCATCCTCTCATATTCCTCATTCCTCAAAAGAATTAATGGCAATGAGGACTAGTCTCCATTGCTTCCTACCTAAAAATTGAGACTGTTTAAGTCAATCTGCCACCCTCAGCAAAATTTTAGTGTGCACAGCACGCCTACCCTTGCAACAGATTCTCAAGTGTAGAGGTATTGCAATCTGGTGTACAGGGTTGCAGTGCTACTCACTAGAGCCCTGCATGGATACACATTTATTTTTGCAGATACAAATCAGTATCCACGGAACTGCAGGTCTCTCCCGGGAACCACAGCAGTGAAAGCAGCAGAACATGAAGCCGCCATTCTCAAAAGCCACACTGGCAGCTTCTCCAGCATGGCTGTACCTCCCTTAGCTCCACCCAGCACTCTTCCATGCGTCTGTCTGCATCTCCTGTCAGAGAGCATGCTGGTGAGCCATGCCGGAGGAGCTCCGGTGCAGGGAGCTAGCTCCTGTGAACAGTGGCTCTATATTCTGTTTTGTTTGCTGCTGCAGTTTCCAGGAGAGCCCTATAGTTCCATGGATACCAATTTATATCCGCAGTAACAAATGTGTATCCATACAGGGTTCTGCTAATCAGGTTTGGCCTGGCTCCCTGACAGTGGCACAGTTTTTCTATGGCTGGAGCAGCCCCTGCCTAGAAATGCTAAAAAAAATTAAGCTGCTGCTCTTTGAAATTCCCAAGTTATGGCGGTCTATGAACACTTCTCCTATATTATATGTAACTATATACTGCTGGTTCAAAAAGCAATCTGTGTAAAAAAAAATGCCTCCATGTTGTTTTCCTTTTTCTAGTTGGAGCCGCCAAATGATTTCAGTTCGTGAAGCCAAAGCCATTCCAAGACCTGATGGTATTGAATGGAGAAACAAATTCATTTGTGTAGAAGGTAAAGTGTGAAACTGTACTTTTTGTTTTCAGTTTCATATATTTAGTTTCTTGATGGTGTTGATTTAACTTAGTCTGTCACTCATAGGCTTTGCTTATCTCTTATTTCAGGCATTTCAGTGGAAAAGTTAGACTACTGTTTTATATTATAACTATGTAGCAAAATCCTGTTTGCCTAAAGTTGAAATATTTGCTTGCTTCTTTACTGTGAGTGATTTTTACCATTGTTGTACAATATCTTATGCTTCACTTCACATGCTGTTTTTTTGGTGATTTCTCCCAGTTTCTTTCACTCAGGCTGTGTCTAGACTGCAGGGTTTTTCGAAAAAAGTAGCCTTTTTTCGAAAAAACTTCACCTGCGTCTAGACTACAGCCGCGTTCTTTCGAAATTAAATCGAAAGAACGCGGCTTTTCTTTCGACGGCGGTACTCCTCATTTCACAAGGAAGAACACCTTTTTTCAAAAGTGCTCTTTGGAAAAAAGGCGTTCTTGAATGCAAACAGGGCTTTTTCAAAAGAGAGCATCCAGACTGCCTGGGTGCTGTCTTTCAAAAAAGCGGCTTGCTTTTTCGTAAGTACTGCTTGCAGTCTAGACGCTCTTTTTCGAAAGAGGCTTTTTCGAAAGTATCTTTTGAAAAAGTCTCTTTCGAAAGTGGCTTGCACGTAGCCTTGTAGTGTATGTGTTACAGGCAGAGATGATAGCGTTGCCTAGTATTAAGGAAGACTGGTACTACCCATTATGTGACTTTAATAGTTTTCAGAGGGTCAGGTGAACTAGTGGGTAGCACATCCAGTTTCCAGTCTCGCGACTGCCAGCAAGAACAACTTTCAGTCCACTTCCTAACCCTTGTTATGGTGGCCTAGCTTCACCTCAGGGTTTTCAATAGCCTGCTGTCCCCTTACTATAGTGGAATGAGGCTTTGGCTCCTCCTGCAATAAGGGCAGTTTTTAAGGGAGGGCTAGGCAGTGCAAAGGCGGTAGCCAGCTCCCAGGAAGCAGGGGCAGCAACTGGTGTGTGCTGGGAGCTGGCTTAAAGGTGTAACTGCTGAGATTTTCAGCAGTTAGTTACTTAATTATCTGCTTTTTAACATCTCTACTTACTACCCTCTATCTCCACTCACATTTCCAAGTTCAATATAAAATAATAAAAAGAAAGGCAAGAGAACTAAACCTTCAGCCCCAACCAGGCTCAGCAGGCTGTCTTTGTCCCCACAGAGAGGCTTCTTCAGCACCCATGTTCTGGAGCCCTCTGGCTGATTCTGTTGTCTTCCCCCTTCTGAGCTGAGTTTCTCCTTTTTAAAGACATTTGAAGCATATCCTGCAGGTTGGAAGGGACAAGGCTTGGTGGGCCCTATTTACAATGCTCCATTCTTCAGCTGCTAATAATTTTGCCAAATTCAGATTTTCTGTTCCGATTGACCATATGTATGGGGGGGAGGAGGGGTGAGAGAGAGAGAGGGAGATTCATATCGTCCAGCCTTTTCCAAGAACAAGGCTATAAAAAAATATTGTTTTGCATTGTTAAAATTCTACAAACGTTTTCTTTGAGAAGATCTATCACCTCCATGGTTTAGCATAAGGAATCAGAATTTGTGGTGGAGGGGGAGCCTATACTTCGTGTCAAGTATGTTACTTTTGCTGTTCCTTTGAAAATCTGCCCAAATAGTGCCAAGTTATACGGTAAACCTTTGAAAAATCTCAGTTGACACATGTTCCATGGTGATGTCTTAGAGTTTAGTATCTTAAATCACTGATTCTATCCAAACTGGGCATGCTTTAGCCCATAGGTTCTGAAACTGGGGGGTTTGAAGAAATTCCAGGGGGGCATAAGGCGACCCAGTCTCTCTCTTACCCAATTCCCCTCCCAAGAAAGAACCTGGTCTGTCTAGTAAAAAAATTCAGGGGGGGAATGGAGCATCTCAGGTAGACTTCAGAATGGCCACCTTTTAAGGGCAATGCCTGCTCTGCTCTTAAAATGGATTATTTTATATATATTATTTGCTCAACAAGTTTTGCTATTGGGGGGGGTGCGAGGAGTGAGGGTTTCTCAAAAATGAAAAAGGGGGCGTGATGCTGAAAAGTTTGGGAACCATTGCTTTAGCCCCTTGTGGCTCTTAGCTGCGTGTATGCCATCCTCACAGAGCAGCTGAGCTTGTTCCATCCCCTCATAGCTTATGTGTGTGCGCTCAGGTTTTTAGAGAAGCTTGCACAATAGCTGCCTGCAGTGTACCTGATTCAGGCCAGTATTAATTAGTCTCATTTACATGAGTCTTTTCCACAACTGTGTAGTTAAACTTTTTTTTTTAATTCTACAAAACCTGCCTTGCTGCTATCCTTGAAACATTCTGTTTCCTAATGGAAAGATGATGTTTGCAGTCCTCTTCTCAATCATTAAATTGTCAGGGTGGCAGTTTGGTTGTTTTATATGTAACATTTATTTTAGTGACTTACTCTTCTGATTAGTGAGTAAAATAATTTGCATTAGTTTTTCTTTGAAAACATTCTGACATTTAGGAAACATTAAGCAACAATTAATAGTTTTTTTTTTATTTTAATTAAAATGTTCCACACACAGTCTCGCAAAATTTGTCTTGCTCAGTCTTCCAATGCAAGTATTTCTTTTGATAGAAAAATAAAATATAATTATTTTATTGTCATTTATTAGCATAGCATAGGAAAAGTTTGAGTCTCAACTGGGACAGTTTCTTGATAATCTTGTTATTTAAAGTGTTTAGTATCTTGGGTAAAGTATGGAATGCCTGCCTAATGTTACAGAATCAGTGTCAAATTTCAGACAGATAAAAGGAGGAAATCATAGAAGATTAGAGTTGGAAGAGACCTCAGGAGGTCATCTTGTCCAGCCCCCTGCTCAAAGCAGGACCAACCCCAACTAAATCATTCCAGCTAGGGCTTTGTCAAGCCTGGCCTAAGGATGCAAATTCCACTAGCTCCCTAGGTAACCCATTCATGTACTTCACCATCCTCTTTATGAAACAGTTTATCCCAATAGCCAACCTAGACCTCGCTCATTGCTTCTTATTCTGTCATCTTCCACCACTGAGAATAGCTTAGCTCCATCCTCTTTAGAACCCACTCCCCTCCCTACAGGTAGTTGAAGGTTGCTATCACATTCCCCCCTCATTCGTCTCTTCCATAGACTAAATAAACCTAGTTTCCTCAGTCTCTCAAGTCATGTGTCCCAACTTTCTAATAATTGTTGTTGCCCTCTGCTAGTTTCTCTCCAATTGGTCCATATCCTTTCTGTAGTAGGGAGCCCAAAACTGGACACAGTACTCCAGATATGGTCTCACTAGTGGAAATAGAGTGGAATAAAACAGTGCTGACTTATATCTAGTGTCTCACCTACTGTAAACCCCAGGTTCTTCTCTGGAGAACTGCCACTTAGCAAGTTGGTCCCCAGTCTGTAGCAGTCCATGAGATTCTTTTGTCCTAAGTGCAGGACTCTGCACTTGTCCTTGTTGAACCTCCTGAGATTTCTTTTGGCCCAATCCTCCAATTTGTTTAGGCTACTCTGGACCCTATCTCTGTCCTCCAGCATATCTACGTCTCTTCCCCCTCTCCCCCAGCTTAGTGTCATCTGCAAATTTGCTAAGGATGCAATCCATCCCATCATCCCAATCCATTAACAAAACCAGCCTTAGGCCCACTTCATACTGGCTGCTAACTAGACATGGAGCCGTTCATCACTAACATGGAGCCCAATGAGCTAGCCAGCTTTCTATCCACCTTTATAGTCCATTTATCTAATCCATACTACTTTAACTTGCTGGCAAGAATTCTGTGGGAGACTGTATCAAAAGCTTTGCTAAAGTCAAGGTAAATCATAGAATCATAGGACTGGAAGGGACCTCGAGAGGTCGAGTCCAGCCACCCGCCCTCAAGGCGGGACCAAGCTCCGTCTACACCATCCCTGACAGATGTCTGTCTAACCTGTTCTTAAATATCTCCAGAGAGGGAGATTCCACCACCTCCCTTGGAAATTTATTCCAATATTTGACCACCCTGAGAGTTAGGAATTTTTTCCTAATGTCCAATCTAAACCTCCCTTGCTGCACTTAAGCCCATTACTCCTTGTCCTGTCCTCAGAAACCAAGAGGAACAAATTTTCTCCTTCCTCCTTGTGACACCCTTTTAGATATTTGAAAACCGCTATCATGTCCCCCCTTAATCTTCTTTTTTCCAAACTAAACAAGCCCAGTTCATGAAGCCTGGCTTCATAGGTCATGTTCTCTAAACCTTTAATCATCCTTGTCGCTCTTCTCTGTCCCCTTTCCAATTTCTCCACATCTTTCTTGAAATGTGGCGCCCAGAACTGGACACAGTACTCCAGCTGAGGCCTAACTAGTGCAGAGTAGAGCGGCAGAATGACTTCACGAGTTTTGCTTACAACACACCTGTTGATACAACCTAAAATCATATTTGCTTTTTTTGCAACAGCATCACACTGTTGACTCATATTCAACTTGTGGTCCACTATGACCCCTAGATCCCTTTCCGCCATGCTCCTTCCTAGACAGTCGCTTCCCATCTTGTATGTATGGAACTGATTGTTCCTTCCTAAGTGGAGCACTCTGCATTTCTCCTTATTAAACCTCATCCTGTTTACCTCTGACCATTTCTCTAACTTGCTAAGGTCATTTTGAATTATGTCCCTATCCTCCAAAGAAGTTGCAACCCCACCCAGTTTGGTATCATCTGCAAACTTAATAAGAGTACTCTCTATCCCAATATCTACATCATTGATGAAGATATTGAACAGTACGGGTCCCAAAACAGACCCTTGAGGAACTCCACTTGTTATCCCTTTCCAGCAGGATTTAGAACCGTTAACAACAACTCTCTGACTACGGTTATCCAGCCAATTATGCACCCACCTTATCGTGGCCCTATCTAAGTTATATTTGCCTAGTTTATCAATAAGAATATCATGCGAGACCGTATCAAATGCCTTACTAAAGTCTAGGTATATGACATCCACCGC